GATGAGGAATTAACTTATTGGTAGTGACAGAAGAAGAGTCCATGTAAGTGGAACAAGAATAACTAAAGCTTGGAACTCAAAACATGGGGTATATGCTTGTGTCTGTGCTATTGTGTGTCTACACACATGGGGGTGTATAAATATGTATGTGAGAGATATCAACAAGAAGTTTCTGAAGGCCTAAAGATTGAAAATAAGAAATCTCAGTTTGAGGTTGTGGTGGTTTAAATAAAAATGCCCCCCATAGACTCATAGGGAGTGACACTATTAGGAGGTGTGGCCTTGTTGAGGTGGGTGTGGCTTTGATAGAGGAAGTGCATCACCAGGGGCTTAGCTTAAGGTCTCAGAAATTCAAGCTAGGTCTAGTGGCTCACAGTTTCTTCTCTCTCTCTCTCTCTCTCTCTCTCTCTCTCTCTCTCTCTCTCTCTCGACAGGGTATCACCTTGTAGCCATGGCCGGCCTGGAACTGGAACTTTAAATGTAGACCAGGCTGGCCTCAAACTCAAAGAGAATTGCCTGCTTCGGACTCCAGAGTGCTGGGATTGAAGGCGTGCGCCACTACACTGCCCCTTCTTTCAGTAGAAGGATTTATTTTGCTTCATGATTTCAGAGTGTTCTTTCTGGCTGGCAGTGTAAAGCTGCTTGATGAATGGCCACAATTTTCTTGATAATGTTCTTTATTGTACAAACCTGTTTCACTCTGACAAAGCCTACCTTATCTCCTTTTTGTTAGCTTGTGTTGTAGCTATCATAACTAAGAAACACTTGTTTAATATAAAGTAACAAATATTGACATATATATTCTTCAAAATTGTATAGTTTTACCCTTTAGAGCTTGGAACAAATATGAGTTCATTGTTGTATGTATTGCTATACTGTAGTGGTCTAAACTGATTTTTCTGCATGTGAATATCCATTTGTCCTAGCACTTGCTTTCTTTCCTAAATTGTATTGTCTGGGTACCAGCTTCAACAACTGATAACAGCTCTGTGGGCTTATTTCTCAATTCTCAATTCTATTCCAATGATGTGGAGAAGCACTTTTATGTCAGTATCACAGTCTCCTCCGGATAGTTGCTTCTAGTCAGTAAGGCTTGAGCATGGCAATTGGGAGCCTCCTTAATTTATCCTTCTTTCCAAGATGATCTGGCTATTCTGGGTTCCTTGTATGAATCACGTAGTTTCTGCCAAATATTCCTGCTGAGATTTGGCTACAGATTTTATGCAATGTAGCTCAGTCTGAGTGTATTGTTATTTTAATATTATATCTTCCAAATCATGGACATGGAATTTTTTTTGTTTGTTTCTTTAGGTGTTCTTTATTTATTGATTAATTTTTTTTGAGACAGGGTTTCTCTGCATAACAGTTCTGGCTGTCCTGGAACTTGCTTTGTAGACCAGGCTAGCCTGGAACTCACAGAGATTCACCTGGCTCTGCCTCCCAAGTGCTGGGATTAAAGATGTGCGCCACTACTGCCTGGCTCTTTAGATGTTCTTTAATTTCATTCAATACTGGTTTACAGTTTTCAGTGCACTAGTATTACATTTATTTTGTTAATCATATTCCTAAGTACTTTATTCTTTTTGCTACTGTAAATTAAAATAGTTTTCACTTCAGATTCTTTATTTCTGGGGTACAAAAATACACATTCTCTCTTGGTCATGTATCATGCGTACTTGGTCTGCTCATTCATTTGCCCTGATAACCTTTTACATAAGTTCCTTAAGATTTTTGCTATGTAAGATCATAAAGTTTAAAAAAGAGATCCTTTTTTCTTTCCCACACCAGATCTGTTTTCCTTTTTCTGAACTAATTGAACATGTAAGACCTCTGGGACAAGGGTGAACAGAAATAAAGGGCCACAGATGTAGCTCAACTTGTTGAGTACTTGCCTAGTTTTCACGAGACTCTTGCTTTGACCCCCAGCATCAACTAAACCAGGTGTGCTGGTGCATGCTGCTAATTCCAGCCCTTGGGAAGTGGAGTTCGGAGGATGAGAAGTTCTAAGTCAGCCTTGGCGCACAGGGAGCTGGAGGAGAGTCTGAGCTACAATGAGATCCTGTCTGAAAGGGAAGAAATTCTCCCTTCAATCGGATCTCCTGATTACAAGAAAGTAGTACTTCGTTTTTCCCAATTACCTCTGATAGCAGCTACAGGTTTTTCATAGACAAACCTGTTATTAGCTTAATGAAGTTCCCACCTTAAACTAGTTTGCTGTAAATATTAGAAATGGTGGTGAATTTGGCAAAATGTTTCATGTTAATGTGTTTTCTGTCTCTGTGAAAAATGTATGAGATAAAACAAATCAAAGAAGAGGTTTATTTTGGCTCAGGCTCTGAGAGATTTCAGTGCATGGATGCTTAGTTCCATGGACATGAGCCTCTGATGGCATTGTAAATCACAGCTAGAGTGCATGCCAAAGGAAGCCTGTTCACCTCAATGTGATTAGGAAGCAAAGAGAGGGGAAAGGCAGCGTCTTGAGCTCTGATACCTTCAAGATTATGCCCTCACTGACCTGGCCCTACCTTCTATTTATTTATTTTTATATTTGTGCATAATCATGGCACAAAATGGTGGCTTTCCCTGCAACATTTTCATGTATGCACATTATGTATTTTACTAATATTCTTTGCCTTGTGAATCTTCTTGTCCATAGTCTGACCTCTATTTTCCTGCCATCTGTATACACATATATCTACGTACATATGTATGTGTGTAATCTAGATTCTTCATGAGAGAGAAAATTGGATATTTGTCTGTCCGTGTCTGGCACATTTTGCTTAATATGATGCTTTCTTTCTCTAGTTTCATTTGTTTCCTTGAAAGTAATGTAATTTTGTCCTTCTTTGGGAGGTAATACTCCATTGTTAAAAGCAGCAGAACCCCTTAAATTAGTTAACAGCTGATGAGATGTCTCAGCGAGGAAAAGCACTTGCTGTACAAGCTTCACCTGAGTTTGATTCTTTCTTTTTTTCCAAAACAAGGTTTCTCCCTGTGTCGTTCTGGCTGTCCTGTAATTCACTCTGTGGACCAGGTTAGCTGGCCTCGAAGTAAGAGATCCATCTCTCTCTGTCTCTGTGCTAGGACTAAAGGCGTGTGCCACCACGGCCTGGTCTGAATTTGATTCTTGGAATCAACAAGGTGGAAAGACAGAACCTACTCTGTAAAGCTGTCCTCTGACCTCTGCATGAGTCCCGTAGCTGGGCCTGTTGGTGTAAGCTTCCAATCTCAGCTACTACACAGGCTGAGGTAGAAGACTGAAATTCCAAAGCTTGCCAGGTGGGGCTGCACATGCCTCCCTGTCTGCTCAGCCTCTGGCAAGTAGAGGCAGAAAACTTAGAAGTTCAAGGTCACCTTCAGGTACATAGTGAATTCAAGATCAGCCTGGGATACATGAGACCCTTTCTGAAACAAACAAACAAACAAACAAACAAACAAACAAACAAACAAACAGCAAAAGACCCTGATAGTTCAACACCTACCTAGGCAACTTAGTGAGACCTTTATCAACAACAACAAAACAAAAACAACAAAATAAAACAAAACACAGAGATGTAGATCAATACTAGAGTGCTTGCCTAGTATTTGGAAGCACTTGGATTTAGATTTAATTCCCAGTACTGAAAGAGAAGGAGGTAAGAGAAGGAAACAAATTACTTTTTTAAAAAACTTTTTCTAGACGGTTTCTCTGCAGCTTTGGAGCCTGTCCTGGAACTCACTTTGCAGACCAGGCTGGCCTCGAACTCACAGAGATCCACTTGTCTCTGCCTCCTGAGTGCTGAGATTAAAGGCTTCACCTTTGTTTTTAAAGTTAGCTTTGCTGAATATAGGATTTTTGTGTGACGTGTTCGTGTTCATTCTTGGGTCACAATGTATATGCTATGCTATTGCTTCTGGCCTCCACTGTTTTTAATAAGAAATTAGATCATAATTTTCTCTTATTAGTGATGCAGTTGTTTTCAAGACTGTTTTTTTATTTTCAATATTTTTAATATGTTAGTGGACACTATTAAATGTTTATATTTGTAGTTCACTGAGCTTCCTGTGTATGTAAGTTTATTTTTAAACAAAGGCCTCTGACATTGGTGCAATGTCTCTTCAAAATATTCTGTTTCCTCTCACTCGATAATATTTTCACTAACACACACACACATATATTACATATGCATATATATGTTGATAAACATAATGTCTAATTTTTTCCAAGATCCCCTTGCATTTGTTCTCTTTAATTTTCATTGTTATTTTTGTTTTACAGAATTCATAATCTCTATTAGCCTTTAGATCAGTGGTTTTCAACCTTCCTAATGCTGCAACCTTTTAATACAGTTCCTCATGTTGTGGTGAATCCCAACCACAAAATTATTTTGTTGCTACCTCATAACTGTACCTTTGCTACTGTTATGAATCGTAATATAAATATCTGATACACACCCCCAAAGAGATCATGCCCCATAGGTTGAGACCACTGCTTTAGAACAATAATTACTATTTTGCTTTCCTTGCACAAGTTTTTGGTTGTTCTCTTTGGTGGGTTTTAAATTTTAGTTATTATTTTGTATGCTAACCCAGAAATCTACTAACTGAGCCATAGCCTTGGTTCATGAAATGTGATTTTACTTCTGTTTACATTTTATTTATTGTTCTGTGGATGTGTACTCCTACAAGCACATACCATGGCACATGTGTTGAAGCCAGAGGCCAACTTTCAGGAGTCAGTTCTATCCTCCTCTGTGGATCTGAGGAGCCAACTCAGGTTGCCAGGTTTGCTCCACGTGCTCTTAATGATCCTGGGATGGAATCTTTGTTTTGTGAGACAGGGTTTCTCTGTGTAGCTTTCACCTTCCCTGGATCTCGCTCTGTAGACCAGGCTGGCCTAGAACTCACAGAGATCCGCCTGCCTCTGCCTCTCGAGTGCTGAGATTAAAGGCGTGTGCCACCACCACCCAGCTTCTGCGATGTAATTTTAAGGAGGACAGTAAGTTCGATCTCTGGAACCCACATAAAAGTGGAGAGAGAGAACCAACTCCACAAAGTTGTCCTCTGACAGCCACATGCAGACAGGCTCATGCACACACATCCATATAATAAGGGTAAATAAAATTTACTTAAAAACACAGATGATAGCTGGGTGGTGGTGGTGGTGGTGGTGGTGGTGGTGGTGGTGGTGGTGGTGGTGCATGCCTTTAATCCCAGCACTTGGAAGAGGTGGAGGCAGGAGGATCTCTGATTTGGAGGCCAGTCTGGTATACAGAGTTAGCTCCAGGACAGCCAGAGCTATACAGAGGAACCCTGTCTTGAATAAAATCAAACCAAAATAAAATAAAGATGATAATAAAGTAAAGGATACCTCAGTGAATTGTGTCCCCTGCAAATTTGTTCATGTTCTGCCCTAAGTACCAGTGAATATAACCTTACTTGGAAATAGGTATTTGTAGTTATAATTAAGGCATTAACGTGAGATCATTCTAGATTCACGGTGGGCCTGAAACTCAATGACTTTTGTTCTCATGACAAACACATTAAGTGATAGAGTGCTCGCCCAGAATTTGAGAGGCTCTGAATGAGTCCCTAGACACACACACACACACACACACACACACACACACACACACACTACAGTAAAATTTGACACTGGGCCACAAATGGACAAAGGGTATGTGAAAATGGAGGACGATATGTGAATTATTCGGTCAACAAGTCAAAGAATGCTGAGGATCCATCAGAAGCTGGAAAAGGTAAAAGAGATTCTCTTCCAGAGCCTTCAGAGGGAGCATGAACTCTGCTACAGGCTGATTTTTACATTTCTGGTTCTTAGGTGTAAAAGGACAACGCTCTGCTTTCTTAAGCCCTCTGGATTAGAAGTTGTTATGGTAGCTCCAGGAAACTAATGCGTCTACCAAGTAAACAGTTTTTATTAACATTTTTTTACATTTATTTAGTCTGTTTGTGTGGGGGTGGGGAATGCATGCCAGGGCAAGAGCGTGGAGATCAGAGAACAACTTGAGTGTCTGTTCTCTCCTTCACTGGATTCGTCTTGGGGACTGAACTCAAGTTGTCAAACTTGGTGGCAAGCAACTTCCCCCACGGAGCCATTTGCCAACTGTCTTAGTTTTCTTCTTCTTTTTTTTTTTGAGATATTTTTCATGCAGGCAGGTAGCCAAAGATGGTGCTGAACTCTTAATCCTCCTGCCTCAAATTCTCAAGTGCTAGGATTATAAGAACACACCACAATGCCTGGCAACATTTCATATTTTTCTACATAAATCCATTCTTACTGTAACAGATGAAAATTTGCCTCTTCTCCTAATCAAAACTATGAGAAAAAAAATTAAAGACAGATAGTAACATGGGTCAGTGGGTAAATGTACTTGCTGCCAAGCCTGACAATCTGGATTCAGTCCTGGGACCCACCACATAATGGAGGGAGAAAACCAACCCCCACAAGCTCCTTTTCTGACCTCCAGATGTACACACACACACACACACACACACACACACACACACACACACACACACACACGGGGGGGGGGGGGGAGGGGGGGAGTAATAAAAAATGGCCACAGAGTTAAGACTGGTGACTCTGTGTTATAAAATACTGATTAGTTAGCATTAGTTCTGAACAACGAATACTTTTTGTGGGGATACACACATTTCAAAAACTTCCTTCTTACCTACTGAGTCCAGAAAATGTATGCTAGTTCATCAGTTTCTTGGTTGTCCTCTCCAAAAGTCACCCTTACTGACTGCTCTGTGGAAACGCATTTGGACCTTTACATTTTATCTTTCCTCTTCTCAGTTCACTTGTCAGTAGAGAACATTAGAAGCAATGTAAGAAAGTTTGCTTCCGGAAGTTCCTGAAGTCATGGAGCACTCTCTCAGTCCGCTTCTCTCTGTAAGGAGGGTACCACTGTTGCTCAGACTGCTTTTCAATTAGCCATGTAGCCCAGTCTACTTTTGAACTAAAGATCTTTTGGCCTCAGCCCCCTAGGGTTGGGATTATAGGTGTATCAGGCCACACAAGGCCAATCTTTATTTTCTTTACTCCTAAACCATTATTACTTCAAATTCCTGTTAAAACAATTATTTGCCCTGAGGGCAGATGACATTTCCTCACTCACATACACAATAAATAAATAAATAAATAAATAAATAAATGAATAAATAAATAAAATTTAAAAAATAACTTTTATACAAAGTAATTTCTTACCTTAAACTTCTGTAAATTTGTGAGGTTTTATCTCTCAATTGCATCCAAATCAATAGCTAAGTGAGCACAGAGATAATTATGTCACATACCTTTTGAAATAGAACACAAATATAGTCTCATATGACTTCTACAGAAATTCTGTAAGTTAAGTAAGTATGGCAAGTATTATTTATTCTTATACTTTACACAGAAGGAATATAATTAATAAAATGTGAGTGCTCTAAAGTCATAAAGTAGTCATTTTTATTGTTTGTATAATGAAGAAAAAAAGAACCCATCTCTTAGGTCACTGTAAGAGTCAAATGAGCTACAGCAGGTAACATTGTGGTAAGGACTTGATAAAGCTTACCTGTTGATTATATTATATTGAACTACGAAAATTGTAACTTTTTCAGTAAACTCCCTTCAATTATTTTCTGAGGTTTTATATTATTTTATCTACTTTTTTCAAATATGATCATACCAAAGATAAACATAACATTTCACAATTACTTTGTATTGTTATTAATTTCTGAATAAAAGAAACAGAAAGAGTTAGCGAGGATATCCAAGTTTATGTTAACTTAATGGAATTCTAGACCCACAGTGGCACCGGCTGAGCTCACTAAATGAGAAAACCAAATTGCTACTATAGCCATAAATTTAGAAGGTGAATCTTCAACTTTGAGTATTTCAAATGTAAATAATGTATAGAATTCAAAGAGTTTGTTTTTCCATCAGGTTTAACTTCAATGAGTTCTGATTTCAAAGTATAGAATGAGAACAGAATGTTAAAAGAAAGTGGGTAAGTGCACCAGTTTACTACGTGTCTTTTTTATTATAATTTTTTTATACAAATCCTGTGATCACTGAAGATTTAACTACCCACCACCAATGTCAGTGCTGTGCTAAGAGTTGAGGATATATATTAAAACAGTTGTAGGCTCAAACCTGTGGAAAATAACTTTGTAAATGAGTGTGGTGACTTATGCCTGTGATGTGAGCACCACTGAATTCCAGGTGAGCCTTGGATATATAGTGAGAGCATGTCAGAAAATACTTAAAAGGCAAAACAAAGCAAACTATCCTTTCTATCCAATTTTTTTTAATGGATATTTAAGAACTTTTTAAGTGTTTTGGCAGTGTTTCAAAACAGAGTTCAAACTTATACTACAGGAATGGGGAAAATGCATTGTTGAACATTTCAGAAGGTGCAAACAGCTTCGTGGTTAAAGTGCAAATTTGTCACGCATTATTTATCAGGGGGATATTTTAAGTAGTTTTCTATAAGAATATTATCTGTGTATTCCGGTCATCAGGGAAGTACAGAACTTTCATTTGGAGCAATGCTCCTCCTTTGGACACAAAATCTTTTAGTGGCAAGAGCCATTTCCTTGGGGGTAGTAAAAGAACAAACAGACCAAACCCTTTCGGTGACCTAAGGTAGTTAGGTCAAGTTAGTCCCTTACAAGTTTCTTCTGAAAGGTTCCCTGACCGGAAAGGGTCCGATCGCCCTCACAGGAAGGGTAAGCAACTCTGGAGCTCCGGGACGCCAACGCCACCACAGAGTTTCCCCGAGGTTGCCAGAGCGTCTGCCTGCTTTTAGCACCTCTTCCTCCTTCCCTGGGCAGTAACTAGGCAACCTCGGCCGGCTGAGGCTGCTGGAGCGAGGCGGCTGCCTTAGTGCCTCTGGCGGCGAGCGGGGAGCGCTGCAAGCTGCTCCCTCCCCTTTCTCCCCCTTTCCATGACTCCACCCCTTTTGCCCCCGCCCACCCCTTAGCGACTTCGGCTCCTCCCTCTCCTTCTCTCTCGCTCTCCTTCCTCCTCCGCCTCCTCAGCTCTCGGGCTAGAATATCTATGGGTCGAAACGTGATGCGATGAATCCGAGAGAGACCGAAACTGGGACGAGGAGTGCGGCGGAAGCGGCGGGACTCCCAAGCATGGGGGCTTCACCACAATAGAGGCAGCGCCCCCACCCGCCCCAGCCAGCCCTCCGGAGCGAAGCCCCCAAACCCCCTCGGGAAAAGGATGGCGGCGGCACCTACCCAGATCGAAGCCGGTGGGTAGCTGAGTCGGGGCTAAAGGGATGGGGGTTTGCGCGACGGCTGTCAGAAATTTTTTTTAAAGCTTGTATTTCTCTTCCTTGCCTCTCTCTTAACGTCTCCCCCCACCCCCCCCACCCCCCACCCCTTCTTTAGAGCTGTATTACCTGATCGCTCGGTTCTTGCAGTCCGGACCCTGTAACAAATCCGCTCAGGTGAGAGGGAGAAGGATATCTGGGAGTGTTCGGGAATGGTCCCAATGGGGAAATTGAGGCACCGGGTGAGCAGTGCAGGGGAGGGTGAGGGAAAGGCCGGCCTCGATTAGTCCTACAGTCAGCGGCTGTGTTGGAAGTGGGGAGGGAGGAATGGGTTGGCGCCCCAATCTGCTCCTCACATCCGTGTTTCCCTCTTCCTCAGGTGCTAGTGCAAGAGCTCGAGGAGCATCAGGTATGGACCCTCTTTGGGAAGGGCTGGGGAGGGCTGGGGAGAAACTGGAGGAAGGGTAAGGTAGGTCACGGGCCGAGGGCAGGGGCCCGGAGGGAGCCTTCGAGCTGGACACTCCGGGCTGTTGTCACTTGGGGTGAGCCGGGTTCTTTCTCAGAAGGGGCGGACAACGCAGGGGTCTAAACTCGTTGCCTTTTATTCCGGCGGGAGGTGTATTTTCAGGATTTCCTTCCCTTTGGCCTGCCCCCCCCACCCCCCACCCCCGGCACGGCGGCAATCGCTGCCGGGACTGAAGAAATGAAAATGCTAAAGGGTCTAGGACTGAGCTCCGGGCTGGGTGCTGCTGATGGGGAGCAGAGGCTTTTCCTTCACCCCCCCCCCCTTTTCTTTTCCTCTGGCCCCCAGCTGATTCCGCGCCGCTTAGACTGGGAGGGGAAAGAGCACCGAAGAAGCTTCGAGGATCTGGTTAGTAAACTTTTCATTTCAACTTAGCCCAACTCTTTCTCCACTCCCTCCCCACCTTGTGCCCCCAACCCGCCCCTGACCCTTCAGCCCGCAAGGCTCCCGGAGCCTGCTGTTTGGTGTTCGAACGACTGCCCCTTCCCCCTCCCAGCGTGTCGGAAAGGGTACCTTGCCCTCCTCCAGCCTTGCCTATTTTCACCCAAAAACTTTGAAGAATGTGAGTTGGTTAGTGGAGGTGCTGTGTTGTGGATTATGACTATGTTACAAACATCGGAGAAGGCCCATTGTAGGGGGAGAAGGGACAGAAACCAGGGGGTTATCTTGGGGCACGTACCAAGGACTGACGCTGGCCAATGACAGCGTTGGTAACAGCCCGGAGTTCCGGATTAGTGGAAGAAAACTGGTTTCTGGTTGGTCCTGGCTTGAAATACGGGAACTGAGGCCAGGCTTGGGTGTTTTTTTTTTTTTTTTTCTCCTCTCGCTCTTTTTTTTTTTCTCCTTTTTCTTTCTTTCTTTCTTTTTTTTTTCTTTTTAGAGGGGAGGGGAGAAGGGGCTCAGAAGGGGAGCTGACTCTTAAATGAGAAAAAACGATGCAAATAAAGATACTAAGGACCACTGAGTAAATTCCAAGATTTGCCGTCTTCAGATAATGGACTACTGAATAAAAACATTGTTGAATATTTCAGAGCTTAGAAAATAGCTCATCAATTCATCAGTAAATCGAATTTGTACAAATAACATTTTCACTAAATCAAAACTATGGATTATGACCTTTTGGGAATAGGTGAACATGATTTGGGGATTAGGAGACAACAATAGGCATTTAAAAAAAATAGAATATACTTTAGTTAAGGACCAAAGCTATTGGATTGACTGCAAATACAGTTCGTAGTATAAGTACCCCCTTTCCTCTGCACTGAGACAAAAAGGTGACTCTTTATGTTTGGGGAAGGAGGTTCTTCTGTTGGCCCCAGATGTAGAACTGTCTGACAATAAAAGGAGTGCTAAAATCTAAATTCAGCTCTCTTTCCTCCAAATAAGATCCAATGAGGAAAATCAGACAAAGTGGGAAAAAAGTTGGAAGACTAGTAGAATAAATAAGATTATTTAAAATATTCTTGTAATAAGAAACATTTAAATTGCTGTGGTATTCATTTTGATAATTTTTGTATATTACAAGAGTGAAGCCAAATGAAAAAATGGTACAATTGTAATAACAGTGAATGCCATCACCATTACTGTTAATGGTTATAATTTCTCACATGGCTACAAATTATTTCTGAATACCTGTTACTACTTTTAATTTTTGGCCAGAAGTTTTATGTTATTGTTGTTAGATATAAGTCCTACTTGTACCACAGAATGTAAAACCAAAGTATTCACTAATACATGTTTTAGCAGGTAACTACTGATACGTGTTTGAAAATAGTTTTAATATCTAGGTGTATGGACAATATTTTTGTTTACATTTTCCCTTTCCAGTTTATACATGTGTGTGCAGGTAGATCATCTTTGAGCAAATGGCAAAAGGAAACTTAAAAGGGAAAATAAATTTTAAAAAACGAATGAGCCGGGCAGTGGTGGCGCATGCCTTTAATCCCAGCACTCAGGAGGCAGAGCCTGGTGGATCTCTGTGAGTTCGAGGCCAGCCTGGTCTACAGAGTGAGATCCAGGAAAGGCACAAAGCTACACAGAGAAACTCTGTCTCGGAAAAAAAAAAAAACCAAACAAACCAAAAAACCAAAACCAAAAACCTAACATGATAGAAAATTGAATAATTAAGATTTTCTCCTTACTATACAATTTTAAAGCCAATTTACTAGTCCTTTTCTTAAACTGTAAAGGCAAACTTTTACACAATTATAATCAATGTCCATTTTCTGCTTTATATTTTTCTGACAGTACTTTTGCATGACTAGTGTTATTTAAATAGTCATGCATGTAATGGTAAGAAAAACAAGTACTTGCATTTTAGATATTATGATTTGTCTTCAATTTCCAATTGATTATTTTTGAGTTACATTCACTTTTTCACTAATATTTTTGCATAATCAGGTGGTCTTTTTCTGCCACCTTCTTCCCCAAGAGTTCCCTGGACTTTGTTCTCTGAAGTGAATTTATGAATAAGGTC